GAGTCAGCAAGAGAGCCAAACCGGTTATGTGGTTGACACCACATATACATACCTATGTATAAAATTTAAGAGAAGATATTTCGCTGCAAAGCAATGATTATAAATTATTAAACTAATAAAACCTTACAAAATTGCGGAGGAATATTACAGAGTATACGGAAAAAAGTTTATTTTTTTACATTTTTTATTTTGAATAACGTCTGGTCCGGCTATTTGGTTTACTATACAGGTATGTAGAGCTATGAATTTAAAAATACATCAGGGTTTAGTTGAGATATTCGCTTTTGACCACTATGTTTTGTACATTTCCCAGTACTGCAAAGCTTTTGACTGCCATTCAACTGGGAGAGGCCCGCGTGCGCTGTTTTTGGGTCCCGCTACGTTTAAACCTTGCCCAATGGAAAAAAACATGCCTCGTGATGACGATCACGGCAAACATAAGAAGGACTATGATTTTAGGGTATGCATTTGGAATATCCGAACCCTTAATCGGGATGGTGCCTCTGCTCGGCTGGTTGATATCCTAGGGAAAATAAAGGCTGACATCACCGCCATCAGCGAAATGCGATGGACGGGGCGAGGAAGGTAAGCGTGGAGCCTTGCGACGCCTACTACAGTTGCCACGTAAAGGAGTACAATTCGATGTTGGATTTGTTGTGGGAGAGAGACCGGCGTTCACTCTAGTGGACGAAAGTTTAGCCACAATCCGCATCAAAGCGATATTCTTCAACATCTCATTCATATGTGCCAATGCCCCAATGGAAGAGAGGGACGAGGCATCCAAGGCTTTCTTAGATTAGAGCGTACATATTAGCTGAGGGTGATCGACTTCGCACGCATGGCGAAACTTGGCATTATGTATTACTGGGTTCTAGCATAAAAAGATCCTTCAAGCTACATGGATGTCTCCAGATTGAAAAACGGGAAACCAAATCGAGGATGTTGTGATAGACGGAAGGCATGCTTCCATGTTTTAGATGGACATACGTATACTCCGAGGGCCAAACATCGACCCGCACTACTATATTGATGTACCCAATATACGACCCGACCTCGGAGTAGCAAAACAAAAAGGGCCCCCAACAATCCAAGGAAAGTTCAACGTCGAAAATCAGCAATCAAAACAGACGGCCAATGGATTTGGCGCTCGACTCTCACACCTGCTATGAGAGAGTACTCTTCAACAAACCGACTTGCGCGATCAGTGGAACCACATTTCCCGCTCATTACTGGTATGATGAGGAGTGTGAGAAAATGCTTGAAATGCTGGCCGACAGAAAAAACACCCGAAATTTTTAGCAGATAGTTGAGCGACTTACGGAAGGTTTCAAGACTCTTGTAGGAACAACCATGGCGACCTAGTGACCGATGTCCAGAACGTACTCAGATTATGGAGGGAACACTTTTCGACCCTTTTGTATGGCAGAAGCACTGAAAGAAGTGGAGAAGACGAACCCGAGGTCCGAGTCGATTACGATGGAGTCGATATCCCAGCGCCTGACTATGACGAAAAGTGCCAAAGCTGCTTGAGCTGGGGGCCTGTCAGCTGAGCTATTTAACTACGATGGCAAGGAGGAAACAAGGTGCATGCCCGACTACTGGAATTCAAGTGCGCTCTGCCCAATTCACAAGAAAGGCGACCCCGCCATGCGTGCCAACTACCGCGGGATCAGCCTTCTAAGCATACCTTGCAAGGTCTTATCGAATGTATTGTCTACCATAGACCAGGTTATTCACAATACGCCAAATCTTGGAAAAGGCCCGCGATCGCCACTCAACACCTATTTGTCGACTTTAAAGCCGCTTTCGGCAGCACTAAAAGGAGTTTCCTATATGCCGCTATGTCTAAATTTGGCATCCCCTCAAAACGCATACGGCTGTGAAAAATTACGTTGAGCAATACCACCAGCTCTGCTCTGTTGCCGTTCGCCACCAGACGGGGTTTCAGACAGGACGACTCTCTTTCATGTGACTTCTTTAATCTGATGTTGGAGAAGATAATAAGATCTGCAGAACTGAACCGCTCAGGAACAATTTACTACAAGAGCGTACAATTGCTGGCTTATGCCGATGACACTGACATCATCGGTAAGAAAAACCGCGAAGTCTGTCCTGGCTTTTCCAAGTTGGACAAGGAAGCAAAGCGAATGGGTCTGGTGGTAAACGAGGACAAGACGAAGTATATCCTGTCATCAAACAAACAATAAGCACATTCGCGCCTTGGCACTCACGTCACTTTTGACAGTTATAATTTCGAGAAAGTAGAGAATTTCGTTTACTTGGGAACCAGCATTAACACCGATAATAATGTCAGCATGGAAATCCAATGCAGAATCGCTCTTGCCAACAAGTACTGCTTTGGACTGAGTAGGCAATTCAGGAGTAAAGTCCTCTCTCGACGTACGAAAACCACACTATAAGTCGCTCATCATGCCCGTGCTGGTATATGGCGAATTAAAATACAGCGGCTCAACTGGCTTGACCATGTCGTTCGAATGGACACCGACGCCCCACCTCTGAAAGTATTCTGGCTTCACTTGGCATTTCCAATTGGCGTCAGTTGGCCAAAATCGCTTTGGCGGTTACAGCGCCAGATAAGAAGAAGAAGAGAATAGATCTATAACCTTATCAGTCACACAGTGTTATAATCCCGACGAAATCCTTGACGGTGGTACCGGGAGGGGAATGGTACATGACGGTAGGAAGTTTAGTTTGGGTTAAAGTCTCACACTGAAGGGGTTTGGCTTTCGATGCTTCCTCCTCGTAAAATAAACATGCTCAGTAAAAAGTTAACAATTTAAATCGACGAATAGTTTTATATAAACTTTTGTGAACTTCTGTTTATTTGTTTTTTTGTACAACAAATGGTTACAATAATTTTAAGCTATAATAAACAATTTTTTAGTAAGTAAGTTATTGGTTTTGTTTTTTTTTTTTGTATGGGCCTCCCCCCCTAAATTTCGTTCTGGCTACGCCCATGAGTATATCTCGGTCTATAGTTTTAAATTCACGCTTAAAATCAAGGAAATTAGCCATAACTTTCTTATTTTCTGTGGCCTTCCACTCATTCACAACATAGTTGACAGCCGTTTCACATGAATAATTTTTTCTGAATCCTGATTGGTATTTCATAAATAGATCATTATTCTCAAAATATTCTTCTAATTGTATTTTAACAACTTTCTTTCTAATGTTTCCAATGTGTTAATGGCCCGAAATTCCTCACATTTTACAGTTTTTTTTTACCTTTTCAACTGGCGTTATCATTGTGTCTTTCCAACTATTTGGAAATATTCCTTTCATAAGTGATTGATTTACTATTTCCGTTAAGGTATCGCCACAGTTCTCCAATTATCCAAAATAATTTTAGGGCTTATTTTATCACTGTCTGATTTATTTATTTTTCATCATAGAGCATATTTTCTTCAGCTCGTCATGATTAGTCCTGCGGAACTTAAAACTATAAGGACCATTTTCTATTTGGTTTTCGTATTGCATGTTTTCCATTGATTTTCTTATGTCTTCTATGCTATTTATAAAATATTTATTAAAATTACTTGCTATTTCATATTAATTTTCATATATTTTGTTGTCGAATATCACATTTTCTATCAAATTTTTCTTTTCTTTTGGTACTAATTTCTTTATCTCACTCCACATTTGTTTTTGGTCAAATGCCTAGTTTGTTTTATAGTTTATATATTTCTTCCTTTCTTTCATAATTTTTACTTTGTATTAGTTTTCATATTTTCTGAACTTTTCCCAGTTTTCAATAGTGCTATTCTTTCTTGATATTTTATATAGGCTGTCCTTTTTTTCTTGAATTATTCTTAAACTTTTATTGTACCAGCCATTCGAAATTCCGCCATCCGGTATAGTTTCTTTAACTATAAATTTCTCTATTGTGTTTTTAAATCCCATCTCCATTGCTTTTGTATTTCCGTGAATGTCTAATTTAGCTTCATATATTCGTTCTTTGTCAAATTCTTTCTTAAAACATTTCTTGTTGTATTTAAAAATTTTCACTTTCTTTTTTATCACATTTTTGTCATATTTCTCTACCTTTATCTGCATTTCAGTGATCTCATGGTCAGAGATTTTTTCACACTCGTTAACATTGGCACTAATAGACGGGATGTTACTAATTAAATAATCTACCAGAGTCTTTGAATTGTTTGCCATTCTTGTATAACTTTCAATGTGTTGTTTTAAACAATTATCAATTAGAAT